CATACTCCAATCCTCCAACCTTCTTTATTAATTCTGACATTTACACTCCCACAGAGCTAGCTCTCTGCTCTGCTGGGTTTGAGAATTCATTGTAACAGCCACATAGAGCTCAGGAAATACTCATGATTATGGTGTGTGTTAGGGAAGTTAACCTGCTAATCATCTGTCAGCCTGTCACAGTGTGGTGATTGGAAGGTTGCTATGATGTTGGAAGCTATGCCACCAGTATTGTGAATGTTGGTACAGTCACCCAGGGTGGACAGGTTATAGCTGAGGTTCCAGATTAACACAGACTTGGAAGAAGAGGCAGACTATTTCCAAATATCTAGCCACTGAAAACCCTATGAATAGCAATAAAATGTTGGCCAATAACACCCGAATATTGAATACCAAAACACAATGAACAGCACCAGAATAGTCTCAAATATAATGCCTGAAGATAAGTCTTTCAGGCTGGAAGGCACTCAAAACACGGCTGAGGAAGAGCTGCCTCCTCAAATAGAGTTGACCATGATAATGAGAATGGAGTAAAGCTTTTGGGACCTTCATTTGCTGGTGGGACACAACTCAAAATGAGGAGAAACAGCTGTAAATGTCAATTAATAATATTGGATATGGAATGTACAAAATATTAATCTGAGACAATTGGAAATTTTCAAAAATTAAATGGAATGCAAAAACAAATAGACATTGCAATGTGCACTGAAATGGACTGGTATTGGCCATTTTGAATCTGACAATCACATGGCTTATTATGCTGGGAATGACTAATTGAAATAGTATTCATCATCAAAAAGAGTATTTCAAAATCTGTCTTGAAGTATAATGCTGTCTGAGATAGGATAATATCCATATGCTTACAAGGAAGCCCCGTTAATAACACTATTATTCCAATGTCTGCACAAACCACTAAAGCCAGTCATGGTGAAATTGAAGAATTCTACCAACTTCTGTCAGTCTGAAGTTGATCAAACATGCAGTCAAGATGTATTGATAATTACTAGTGATTAGAACGCAGAGGTTGGAAACAAAGAAGGATCAGTTGTTGGAAAATATGGCCTTGGTGATAGAAATGATGCTGGAGATTGCATGATAGAATTTTGCAAGACCAATGAGTCCATTGCAAATACCTTTTTTAAATAACATAAAAGACAACTATATACATGGACTTCACCAGATGCAATACACAGAACTCAAACTGACTATATCTGTGGGAAAAGACAGTGAAAAGCTCCATATCATCAGCCAAACAAGGAAATGGAAGCAAGTAGAAGAAATGAGGTGGTAAAAGAGTTGACCAGAAAATTTTAAAGGACAGCTCAAGAAGATAAACTCAAATATTATAAGAAGTATGCAAAATCTGGAGTTAGAAAATCATAAGGGAAGAACACGTTCAACAATTCTCAAGCTGAAAAAACTGAGGGAAAAAATTAAGTTTTGACCTTCAATATTGAAGGATTCTTCTAGCAAAACACTGAATGATGAAGAAAGCATCAAAAGAAGATGAAAAGACTACACAGAGTCACTATACAAAAAGAAATGGTCGATGTTCAACCATTACAAAAGGTAGCATATGATCAAGAGCTAACGATACTGAAGGAAGAAGTCCAAGGTGCACTGAAGGCATTGGCAAAGAACAAGGTTCTAGGAGTTGATGGAATACAAATTGAAATCTTTCAACAAACTGAGGCAGCACTGGAGGCACTCACTCAACTATGCCAAGAAATTTGGAAGGCAGCTACCGAGCCAACTGATTGGAAGAGATCCATATTTGTGCCCATTACAAAGAGAGGTGATCCAACAGAATGCAAAAATCATTGGACAATATCCCTAGTATCACATGCAAGTAAAATTTTGCTAAGAATAATTTAAAAATGGTTACAACAGTGCATTGACAGAAACTGACAGAAGTTCAAGCCAGATTCAGATGAGAGCATGGAACAAGGAATATCATTGCTTACATCAGATGGATTTTGGCCAAAATCAGAGAATACAAGAAAAATGTTCACTTGTGCTTTATTGACTATTCAAAGGTTTTTGAATGTGTGGACCATGACAAGCTATTAACTACATTGGGGAGAACAAGTATTTCAGAACACTTAATTGTGCTTATGAGGAATCTGTACATTGACCAAGAGGCAGTCGTTCAAACAGAACCATGGGACACTGAATAATAGTTTAAAATCAGGAAGGGTGTGCTCCAGGGTTATATTCTATCAACATACTTATTCAATCTGTATGCTCAGCACATAATCTGTGAAGCTGAATTATATGAAGAACATGGCATCAGGATTGGAGGAAAACTCATTACAAACCTGCGATATGCAGATTATACAACCCTGCTTGCTGAAAACAAAGAGGACTTAAAATATTTACTGATGAAGATCAAAGACCACTGCCTTCAGTATGGGTTGCACCTCAATGTAAAGAAAACAAAATTCCTCACTACTGAACCAACATCATGATAAAGGTTAAAGTTGTCAAAGACTTCATTTTGCTTGGATCTACCTCAACACTCATAGAAGTAGCAATCAAGAAATCAAATGACATATTTCATTAGGCAAATCTGCTGCACAAGACCTCTTTAAAGTGCTCAAGAGCACTGATGTCAGTTTGAGGACTAAAGTGCTCTTGACCCAAGCCATGGTATTTTCAGTTGCCTCATATGCATGTGAAAGTTGGGTAGTGAATAAGGAGAATCACTGAAAAATTGACGCATTTAAGTTTTGATGTTGGAGAAGAATATTCAAAGTATCATGAACTACTAAAAGAATGAACAAATCTGTGTTGGAAGAAATACAACCAGAGTGCTCTTTAGAAGCCAGGATGGCCAGACTTCATCTCTCATACTTTGGACACATTGTCAGGTGGGACCAGTTTCTGGAGAAGGAAATCATGCTAGGTAAAGTGGGGGTCAGCAATAAAGAGGAAGACTTCCAATGAGATGGATTGGCACAGTGCCAGCAGCAATACGCTAAAGCTTAACAGTGATTGTGAGGGTGACGCATGACCAGTGTTTTGTTTTGTTGTTCGTAGTGTCTCTATGAGTTGAAATTGACTCAACAGCACCTAACAACAAGAACAAAGAGAAGTTAACAGGTTGCAATTTAGGATCAGAAATGGTTAAGACAGAGGTTTGGGTGGGGTTTTTTTTTGTCAGGACAGCCTCTTCCCACAGGAGGGTCACTTTCTGGTCACTGGCCTCTCAGTCACACAGTACCTTGGCCTGAGCCCTGCTTAGACAATGTTACAAAGCCTTTGGGACTGATGATAAATGCCCAAAGGGCACTCCATTCCACCATAAAGCACTCCGCTGTAGCTGAATTGGTCAGCAAACATATCTGCTCCAATTAAGGAACTGCAGGCTCCCCACACCTGCCCATAGGCACTCGGCATTACTCGAATGTGGGTCTGGAAACCCACTATTCTGCTTCACGCTCTGGCTCTCCTGCTGCTGCCACTCTTCAGCCACTTCTCTGTTCCCACAGCTTTCTGTCCCTGGATCAAGGACATCCAATGCTCAGGTCTAAAGGTTACACCCCATTCCTGACTCTTCTTCCTTGTTGTTGTTGTTATATGCCGTGGAGTCGATTCCGACTCATAGCAACCCTGTAAAGAAAGGGTTTCCGAGGCTGTAAATCTTTACGGGAGCAGAAAGACTCATCTTTCTCTCACAGAACAGCTCGTAGTTTCAAACTGCTGACCTTGGGATTCGCAGCCCGGTTCATAACCACTACACTACCAGAGTAGTGAAACCCTGTTCCTGCTACTGAGATTGCTCATTTTATACTCAGCAGAATGGCAAAATTCACCAATCCCCTGGTAGGATTTCCAAGTTTTTACAATCACAATTAACCCTATTAACAATCACTCACAATTGAATCATATCATCTGTCAGCATCAGACTCATCAGGAAAAAAAGTGACTTTGGTGGGAGCTCCCTGGTGTGGCTCTGTGAATTAATGCACTGGACTACAAAGTCTGTTTGAACCTCAAGGTCAGTGGTTCAAACTCACCAACTGCTCCTCAGAAACCCTTTACAGGGTTGCTATGGGTCAGAAATGACTCAATGGCACTTAACAACAACAATGTAAAGACTACAGCTAGAAGAGACATATTAAAATTTTACCTCACTGCAGTAGAATACAACATCCTTAATCCCATCACAGCCCTGATCTGAAATAAGGGGAGTTTCCCTTCATTGTGGCCAGTAATATCTTTTATCTTATAAGAGGCAAAAGAGGAGAGAAGTGCTCAGAAAGAGAGGGACTTACTGCTACCAAGAAAGAATAGACAGGCTATATAACTGTCTCTCATATAACTTCATTATTGGTTGATCTAAATAAGGCTCGTAAATGTTAATTTATTCTATGAAAGTTTATTACACACCTGTTATATGCCAGATATTGTCTCAAAGCAATAAAATCCCTTAAGTATAATTGGTCTTCTTTACACTATGACCAAACATTGCTGCAAAGAGATCAAATACAACCAAATCATGTGGAAATTTTTCACTTTTGCTGACATGTGGTGCCAAATCTCCAAATTTTAGGAAATAGCTGAAGAATTTAAATTTTTAGGTCTAGATTACTGGGATTCTTTTTAAAATACATGATGCTATAATTTCTCTTATTTTAAATTGAGAAGACACATTTCTCCAAGTAGTAATTTGATTCTGGCAAGTAAAATGTGTTCCATCACTAACTCAATTTATACAGCAGACAGAGGGGAAAAAAAAAAAAAATCCTTTGAAAGACAAATACATTGTGTGCTTCCTGCCAATAAGTATCATACTACTTCCTCATTGTCATGAATAAAAACTAACATCCACTTTCAAAGTTCTGTAGACACTGAAAAAATGGAAAAAAAAAAAAAAAAAGCACTCAAATGAGTCACCTATGTCCACATTCCAGGCTGAGAAGGCGCATAAATATCTCCAGCCTCCTGCAGAAAACACTCAACCATCCTAATTCCAAGAACAATCGTCCTTTGACACAGCTATGTGGCTCATACTGCTCGGTGCTCTATGTCTGTTATCCAGTACTCTGGCCATGCCCCTGGAGGCAGGAGGCATGGGTAAGCAGCATTGGGAACTGGTTCAGGTATGTTGCAGTCCCCTCATCTCATTGGGCCTCAGTAATCTCGCCATCACCATTAGGAAGCATGTTTTTCAGTATTTTTCCTTCCACGTTAGTACTACGATGAATGATCTTCTTGGTAATTTTTCTGCTTATAAAAGCAATGCATGCTTGAATCAAGCAGCAGTTCAAAGGAGGCTTTAGAGGCTGCTCAAACTGGTTGCAGCTCCTCCACTCACTGTGTAGATGAGTTAAGACTTTCATTGCCTTTCTCTGAGCATCCATTTTCCAATTTGAAAGTTGGAGATTAATAGTGTTACAAATAGGAGTTTGTGATGCATTTAGCACAGTGCCTAAAACAGTTCCGTATTCAATAAACTGAAGTGTATTGTTATTGTTATTATTGGTGTAATTATTGCTGTAATTATTATTGATTGTACTTGAAATTCTTTTTATAAAGAACATGAAGTATTGCCAGTTAGATAAGGGTACCAGTAATGGAAAGTCTGGAAGTCAGAAGATGTCTGGAGGTCAAAGTTACAAGTTTCTATTTCAAGACATAACTCTGACTCTCTTTTCTCATGTGTTCAATAGAACTAATAACACCATGTGCTTTATATCTCATAGGATCAGTTTAACAGATGCAGGAAGCTATAATGCCAATTAGCATGTTGTAACAATTATAGACTATGAAGTACTTCCACACAGTTTATGCCATTCAATCCTTAGATCCAACCTGGGGCAAAAAAAGAAACAAAAGTTCAGAGAGAGGAGTCAAGGACTCATTCTTCTGGTTCAAAAATCATGTTCTTTCCAATATACTACTCAATAAGCAGTTTTAGAAGTACAAATCATTATTGTTTGGCAAAATAATGAGATGTTTACTCGGAAGTATTGTTTATAAAACCAGGTTTTAAAATAATAGAAGTGAAGTTTTCTTTCACATTGACCTTTTGTTTACTTTTTGAACATTGTATTGTTTTAGGTGAAAGTCTACTCAGCAAATTAGTTTCTGATTTAACAATTTATATACAAACTGTCTCATGGCATTGGTTACTATCTCCACATTGTGTTGACACTCTTCCTCTTTCCAACCTGCCTTCTTTATTTCCATTCCTCCAGTTTTCCTGCCCCTTTTTTGCCTTCTCATCTTTGCTTTTTGGTCTTCTGTAGTTGATTATTCTAAGGAACACATTTCTCATGGATGTTAATATTTATTTTATAGGTAAATCTATGATTTAACTGAAAGGTGACCTCCAGGAGAGGAGGTAAAACTTCAGTTACAACTTCAGTTCCAAGTAAAAAGGGTTTTTTAGGGCAATAATCTTGGGTGTTCCTTCAGTCTTTATCAGTTCAATAAGCCTGATCTTTTTAATTAATTTGAATTTTGTTCTACATTTTTCTCCCATTCTTACCTGGACCTTCTATTATGTCCCTGGTCAGAATGGTTAGTGGTAGCTAGGAATCTTGGTCTGACACTGTATGTTAAGCACTCAATCACAATTTCAGTTTGAACTGTTATGTCAGCAGTTCAAACTCACCAGCTGCTCTTTGGAATCCCTATACAGGGCGGCTATGAGTTGAAACTGATACAACAGCAATTAACAACAGCAGGTACCATCTAGTTCATGTGGACTCAAACTAGAGGAAGCTGTGGTTCATGTGGACTCCTGCTTCCAAAAGAAAGAATGTTGGTTTCTTTAACTCCTCTTTGCTCCAAGTGGAAAGAGATCAATGTCTTAGATGGCCACCAATAGGAAGTTTTTTATACAAATTGTTAATTATTGCTTTCTTTCTAGCCATTACTTTGCTACTCCATCTAAGAAAGATTTTATGTTCTTTTATAGTTTGCAGAGAACAAATCACATTTTTAAAAACTTTTTGTTGTGAATTGAATGAACGTTTCCAGAGCAGATCATCAATTTTACATTCAACAAATAATATATCTAATTTAATTTAATTTCAGTAATTTCAATCCCTTCAATGTAACATCACATAGCCCACTTACCCACCCACCCCCCATGATTCGTTTCCCTTCCTTCTTCTTTCCCAACCCTTCTAAATTTTATCCTTAGGTAAATGCTCCCTTCACTTTTGATTTTGAATGATGGACTACTCTATGATGTGCTTACTTCACTAGTGTTGTTGCCCCCTCTAATTACCTATCTACTTCTCGTTTAGCGTCGTGGAGTTGGTTCCGATCCATTGCAACCCTGTATAGGGTTTCTGAGGATGACTGGTGGGTTTTATTCAACTGCTGACCTTGCAGTTATCAGTCCAGTGCTTATCGTATGGCACCACACCAGGACTCCTACTGCTTGGTTGAAAATTGAGCACAAGGGTGAGTTCAGGTCCAGACCTGAAGGGTGACCAAGGCCATAGTCTCAGAGTTTCTCCAGTCTCTTTCTAACCTATACACCTGGTCTTTTTTGTACTTCTGTATTTTTTCCCACTCTATCCAGGACCTTCCAATGTGATCCCCTTCTGAGCAGTTAGTAATGGTAGTCAGACACTATCTAGTTCTGGCCTCAGGATCATAGAGACCACACTAACTTTTAAAGAGTTGAAGTGGTAGATTGAACCACATGAATTTCCTGATATCTGACTTTATTTTAACCTTCAAAAAATAATTTCATATGGTTCAACATAACAGATTCTCCAAAATGAGTATGTTTGCAACAGCACTTAAACCCTTCATTAAGCATAACTAAAAACTAAATCCACTGCTACTGTGTCAATTCCAATGCATAGTGACCCTATATAGTATTTCCAAGCCTGTAAATCTTTATAGGAGCAGAAAATCTCTCTTTCTCTGACGAAGCAGCTATTGGGTTTGAACTGCAGACTTTGCAGTTAGCTGCCCAGTGTTTATCCTATAGCACCTCCAAGGCTCCTTTCAAACTGTTAATAAACTAGAGGGAGGTCAGTTAGGTTTAACAAGAGGCAAGAAAATTCATCCTAAAGACACAGTGAGGTTTCTTCAACAGGATGTCTTGGTAAAGCCTGGATTCTGAACTACAATGGGTTGTTTTAAATTAAGTGATTCATTCCTAATTGTCATGGGTGAACAATAAGTAATTGTTGTAAGGAATGAAACCCAGTCATTGGTAAGAAGGAGAGGGCACTATATTAATAAAGCTAATTATATAAAGTACACACTCTTGTAATTTAATCATTATTCAAGTAACCATTACCATCTATTCAAAAATTGACTGCAAATTAGTGAGCCGATGTTTAAATCATTTCAATGACAATATTATCACATATAAAAATAACCCTTTACACTTTCTAACAAAAATGAACTTTGGAATCAGAACACTTAACTTCAAATACTGATGCCTTTATTCAATGGATGATTTTGTGCAAGTCAGTTTGCTTCTTTGAGACTAGTTGATGCATATACACATAAAATAAAGATATTAATGTAATATGTGCTTCATATAGTGAGTATGAGGTTTAAATAAGTGTGGAAACCTGCCTGGCACACAGGAAGTGCTTAATAAATGTTCATGTGCTGTTGTTGTTATTTCACACGTTTTGTTGTCACTGTTTTGCTTTTGTAGTTAGGCTGTTACACTTCCATCCTCATATCTAGACACTAAGATCGTACAGAAGTTCCCAGGCGTGAAATAGGCATGAGGGACTTGCTTTATCCTGAAACTCCCCAGAAGTTTTTTACTAAGGATCTAACAGTGGAAAGAGCACTGAACTGGGAGTTATGAAAATTGAAGTCCAGTTCTGCTATTAATATAACATGTGAACTTTGGCAAATCATTTAGCTGCTATGAGCTTCAGTTTCTTCACCTGGAGACTATGTACTTTAAACTAAATCATCTAATACCTCAGCTGGGCTGGCTGACATTGAATTTTACCCATAGTTCCTACAAACGTCCCAGTTGTGCTTCCTGTGGACACAACTAGGGCAGTCCTAATTTGCCCTTGTAGACAAGTCTGAGGTTTGAAAAGTGTACAAAGTGGCCCTTCTTGAAACATCTAATGGGACAAAATAGAAATTGTGAGTCTCTTCTCCTTTGCTCAGGAAATAAGATGGCAGTGCTTTGTTATCAATATTAAAGGAGTATGTGGCACTGTAGGATCAGCACTCGACCTCAAGGTCAGTTTGAATCGCAAGATAGGCAGTTCAAACTCATCAGCTGCTCATTAAAAACCCTATATAGGGTTGCTATGAATTGAAACTGACTTGACAACACTTAACAACAACAATACACATATGGAGTTCTTGTGTAGCACTGTAGGATAAGCACTGGATTGCTAGCCACAAGGTAGGTGGTTCAGATCCACTAGCCACTCATGGAAACCCTATACAGAATCACAATGAATCAGAACCAACTCGATGGCACTTAACAACAACAATGCATATATGTTTAATTTGGTGACAGTGTAACTATTCTGTCTTCAAACCATTATTTTAATTCACAGTAATCAGAGGCAAAGGCATGTGCACGTCTAAGATTAAAGAAGAAAATCACCAAGAATTACATATCATTTACTCTCTTCCCAATAGAACTATCTCAAGAGATATTACTTCCATGACTCCAAAACAAGGGTAAAAATCAATTTTGAAGACAAGCTCAAGGAGATGCAAAAGTTTTTTGGCCTGCCTGTAACTGGAATATTAAGTTCCCATGTCACAGAAATAATGCAAAAGCCCAGATGTGGAGTGCCAGATGTTTTAGAATACTCACTGTTTCCAGGTAGACCAAAATGGACCTCCAATGTAATCACCTACAGGTTAGTTTTACATTGGCTCATTTTGGCAAAAACAACAAAGCCCTTTTCCTAGAGGTCTAATACTGTTTTTTTGTTTGTTTGTTTGTTTGCTGCCAGGGTTGTATCATATACTCGAGACTTACCACAAAGCATAGTGGATCAACTACTGGCAAAGGCTTTCAATATATGGAGCAGTGAGATTCCACTACACTTCAAGAGAGTGCATTGGGGAAAGGCTGATATCATGATTAGCTTTGCCAGAAGAGGTAAGCTACTTCAGGCTAATTCTGTGGCGCAGTCTATTTGTTTGTTGTTTATATCAAGGAGCCCTGATGGCATAGTGGATTAAGTGTTGGGCTGCTAGCCACAAAGTAGATGGTTCAAACCCACCCACTCCTTGTGAGAAAGATGAGGCTAATGCTTCCTTAAAGATTTAGTCTCAGACACCCTGTATATGATTGTCAGAATCAATAAAATAGCAGCAGGGGGATTTGGTTTGGTTTAGTTTTTATAGTTTGTTGTTAGGTGCTGTCTACTTATAGTGACTCTATGCACAGCAGAGCAACACACTGCCCAGTCCTATGACATCCTCACTTGTGTTTGTGCCCACTGTTGCTGTCACTGTGCTAATCCATCTTGTTGAGAGTCTGCTACTTTTTGAGTAATGTTTAAGTAATAATGACAGAGAATATAGGGCCCATACAACCGAAATTATTATCTGGTCATTTACAGGGGAAAAAATTGCCATAGTCTTTTCTTAGCATGAATTATATATGTTGTTGCATGCCACAATCCCCTGTGAACTGTCCCACAAGGTTTTCTCTCACCAGGTCTTTCTTTCATGGAGCCAATAAGTACATTCAAACTGCCAACAACAGTCAAGCATTTCAACAAGTCTCCACCATATATATGTTATTGTTCTCTGCTATGAAGTCACCTCATGCACATAGCAAAACTCATGGACAACAGAATAAAATGCTACCTTATCCAGCACCATCCCCATGACTGGTGGTGACAGATGAGATTATTGTGAGCCATACAGTTTTTATTGGCTGATTTTTATTTGCTTCTCTTTAATTCTTTTTTTTTTTTTTTTATGTATACCCCCAAGTCTGTGATCCTAAATTCCCAAGATCAGTGACTCATTTACTCAAGGTGCTTGGTTATAGCTAAGAAGTTTTCAGAATTTTGCAACCTATATGCTCTACACTATTCTTAATATGTTTGCAACATATCCAAATACATGTGTAGAAATAGCCTCTGCCAAAAAATTTTGTATATATACCAATGTGTGTATTCCCACTTACCTTCATCTGTTCAGCTTGCATGTCTACTTATGCATATATTTGTTGTTCTCGGTGCTGTAAAGTTGGCTTGATATAGCAACAGAACAAAACACCACCTGGTCCTGCACCATGCTCACAATTGCTGTGACACTTGAGCCCATTGCTGTTGCCACTGTGCCAATCCATCTTGTTAGGGGTCTCCCTCTTTTTCTCTGACCCTCTACTTTATCAAGCATGAAGTACTTCTCCAAGGACTGGTTCCTTCTGATAATATGTATGAGAGACAAAGTCTGGCCATCATGACTTCAAAGGAGCATTTTGGTTGTACTTCTTCCAACACAGATTTATTTGTTCTTCTGGAAGTCCATGATATCTTTAATATTCTTCTCGAACACTATAACTCAAATGCATCAATTCTTCTATGGTCTTCCTTATTCATTATCCAACTTTCACATGCATGTGAAGCTATTGAAAATACCCTGACTTGGGTCAGGAACACTTTAGTCCTCAAGTTGATATCTTTGCTCTTCAAAACTTTAAAGAGCAACAGATTTGCCTAATGCAATACATCAGCTGATTTCTTTGACTGCTACCATTAGTCTTGATGGTGAATCCAAGCAAATGCAGTCTTTGACAACTTTAATCTTTTTTCCATGTATCATGGTGTTATTTATTGTTCCAATGGTGAGCATTTTTTTTTTTAATTTACATTGAGATGCAACCATACTGAAGGCTGTGGTAATTGATCTTCATCAGTAAGTATTTTAAGTCCTCTTACTTTCAACAAGCAAGATTGTATCATCTGCATATCGCAAGTTGTTAATGAGTCTTCCTGCAATCCTGATGCCACGTTTTTCTTCATATAATCAAGCTTCTCAGATTATTTGATCAGGATACAGATTGAGTAAATATAATGAACAAATACTACCCTGGCACACACCTTTCCTAATTTTAAACCATTCTGTGTTCCCTTGTTCTGGCAAACGACTGCCTCTTGGTCTACGTACAGGCTCCTCATGAGCACAATTATTCCAGAATTCTCATTCTCCAGAATCTGTCCAGAACTTGTCATGATCAACACAGTCAAAAGCCTTTGCATAGTCAATAAATCACAAGTAAATATCTTTTTGGTATTGTCTGCTGTCAGCCAAAATCCATCTGACACCAGCAATGATATCCCTCATTCCATGTCTTCATCTGAATCCCTCTTGAACCTAATTTTACTTGCATGTGATATTAATGATATTGTCTGATGATTTCCATATTCCATTGAGTTACCTCTGTTTGGAACGGGCACAAATAAGGATCTCTTCCAATCACTTGGCCAGGTAGCTGTCTTCCAAATTCCTTATCATAGATGAGTGAGTGCTTCCAGTAATGCATCAGTTTGTTGAAATTTTTCAATTTGTATTCCATCAATTCTCAGAGCTTTTTTCTATTTGTGTCTATTTGGTTTGGATTTTAAACATCTTTTTGGTATTGTCTGTCATCAATGTTTATTACTACTATTATTGTGTGTAATCTGACTGCACTTTTGTTGTCTTTTGATCTTCTACAACTCCCAAATCATTTCCTTTGCCACTGGTCATGCTGTACTGCCTTCCCCCTATTGTATAGTATCTTTTCCATCTTTACTTGCTAGCAATTTACTCTGTGTTCTTTAATTTACATCACATCAAAATGAAAGTTTTGATATCCTTAAGAGACACAAATTGTGTTCATTTTAAATGTTCTTTCAGCTTGTGGAACAAAACAAGCTCAGAAGGGGCAAGATGGGGCTCTAGGGAAGAGGTAAAGTTTTCCAGAGAAGTGCTCATAGCGCAACCCTTGCTACCTCAAAGAATGAGTGGGTACATTATCATGATAGAAAACAACTCCTCAGTGCAGCTAGCCTTTTATCCTTAATGCCATTTTCAATTTTACTAAAACTTCTTCATAATGAGCTGCCATGATTGGTCTGTGTCGTGTCCTTCAAAATAGTCTATCAAGATTACCCTATGAAATTCCAAAAACCAGTCACCATAATCTTCTGAGATAACTTTTCTGCCTTGAATTCATCCTTAAAAGGCTCAGTTCATCGAAAAATTGTTTTTTATGTAGGACAGAATCCCCACAAACTTGTTACAATGCTTCAGTGACTGGAAGAGATCCACTTGAGTTTTGTTAAAGTTTGAAATTATCCCTGACCAAAGTAATTTTTTTTCAAGGCACAAAAAGTTTCCTTTTTAAAAAAAGTTACCCTAATGAAACTAAGACAAGTGTATTACTGAGAAAACTTATCTGCAGCCATCCACTGACTGCAAATACCTATTTAAACATGTTTTATTTGGAATAAATCCGTACAAGTATAAACTGGAACCCTAGTTACCCTACCTCTTGACTTACTTTCATACATTGACAGGGAACTGGCAGAAATTCAGGCCAGAAGAGGACGTGGAATGAGAGCTATAAGGGAGTTTCAAAATGTTAAGGGGGAAATTCCACTATCTTTTCATTCCATCCCCTCCCCAACTTTTTGAAGCCCCCTTGTATATTTGCTTATGTTAGATGAGTCTTGGGTGGAAGCAGACAACACCAAAAAGATGTTTCAAATCCAAACCAAACCCACTGCCACTGAATCAATTCCAAATCATAGTGACCCTTTGGAACAAAGTAGGATACTTTTTAAAGTTTTCCAGACTGTATTTCTTTACTAGAGCAGACTATCTCTTCTTTCTCTTGTGGAGTAGCTAGTAGATTTGAACCACTGACCTTGTGGTTAGTAGCCCAATACTTAATCCACAGTGCCACTTGGGCTCTTTAGAAAGATGTTGTCTGCATCTTATGGTCTATGCAAAGGCCTTTGCATTCAGCAGTGTATAGAATAACAAACTATGGATGATGTTACAAAACATAGGAATTCCAGAACACTTCCCCTTGAGGAACTTGTACATAGATTATGAAGCAGTCATTCAAACATAACAAGAAAATACTGCCTCGTTTAAAATGTTGCCTCTTTTCACCATATGTATTCAATCTGTATTCTGAGCAAACAATCCAAGAAGTTGGACTCTGTGAAGAAGAATGTGGCATCAGGGTTGTAGAAAAGCTCATTAACAACCTATGATATACAGATGATATAACCTTGTTTGCTGGCAGCAAAGAGGTCTTGAAATACATTCTGATGAAGAGCAAAGACTACAGCTTTCAGTATGGATTGCATCTCAATGTAAAGAAAAAAAATCCTTACAATTAGATCAATAAATAACATCATAATAAATTGAGAAAAGATTGAAGTTGTCAAATATTTCCTTTTGCTTGCAGCAGTCAAGAAATAAAATGATGTATTACATTAGGCCAGCAGTTCAAAACTACCAGGTGTTCCACAGGAGAAAGATGAGGCTTTCTGCTCCCATAAAGATTTATAGCCTCAGAAACCCTGTACAGGGTCACTATGAGTTGGAACCAACTGTACGGCACATAACCACCACCACCACCACCACCACCACCATTGTATTAGGCAAATTTGATGCAAAAGGCCTCTTTTATAGTGTTAAAGAGCACAGATACTTTCAGTACTAAGGTGAGCCTGACCTAAGCCATGATATTTACTATTACCTCATATGCATGAGAAAAAGTTGCATATGCATTTGAATTAGGGTACTGGTAAAATATTTTGAATATACCATCTACTACCGAAGAATGAACAAATCTGTGGAGGAAGAAGTATAGCCAGAATGCTCTTCAGAAGGGAGAATGAGGAGACTTCCTCCCAAGTATTTTGTATATGCTCTCAGGAGGAACCAATCTCTGGAAATGGATTGATAAAGTAGCTGCAACAACGGGTTCAAACATAGAAACGGTTGTAAGGATAGAGCAGAACCAGGCTGTGCTTCATTCTGTTGTAGGTAGAGTAGAAATAAGTTTGAGCCAACTTGATAGCACCTCATAATAACAACAAACCTAAATTATCTAGGCATGCTATGGTTCAGTGCTCCGCAACTAACCACAAGATTGGCTAGTCCAACCTATTCAATATATCCATAGGAGAAAAATATGATCATCTGCTCCCATAAAGATTACAGCTACAAAATCCTATGGGGCAGTTCGAATGTGTTATATCGGGTCACTAGGAGTTGGAAATCAACTCAATGGCACCTAACAGCAACAGAAACAGCTGGCATTGAATCAAATCAAGAGAAGGATTTACAACTTCTAAAAAGCCTCAAGTAGCCTCCAAGAAGTTGGGCAATCTGTGACCTGTTGCCAAGTACTTGCAAGTAGCTACCAAACCCACAACTCCATTCCAAGTCATAGTGACCCTTATCGGACAGAATAGAACTGCCCCTGAGGATTTCCAAGGTTGTAAACCCTTATGGAAGTTGACTACCATCTTTCTCCTGTGTACCTGCTGGTGGATTCAAGCCACCAAGCTTTTGGCTAGCAACCCAGCATTTTAACCACTCTGTTACTAGGGGCGCCTTCCAATAGCAAAAAAGCAGAAAATGGAGAGCTTCCATATTGAAATGTTTAAAGATATATAACACATATACATGAACTGCTATTAATTGCTAATGTTTCAGGATGTAAATTTGGGGGGTGGGGAGGAGAATGTTGCCTGCTTTGATCAAGTCTAATATGATCACCCATAGTATACATATTAGACCTGTATACTACAAATTTAGTTAAAATTCAAACTTCAGCCATCATATATGACTTCAAAGAATATGATACAGAAAGCAGTAATCACAGTAGCACAACTTTTCAAGCCCTGGACAAACTGGTAAGATTTGTCACTAATTTGAAGATAAATAACTCTAGATCACTATTAGAAGGACTATTCAAAATTCATTTTAAAAGACCTTGAGTACTGTTCCCCAAAAAGCTATCTACCACGTCCATAGATGATCAATTAGGTTTTTAAGGAAAATTGTACTATATAGTACAAAGGTCACTTGTTGAATGCAATATTCACATTTATTCTCCCGCTCTGGTAGCGTAGTGGTTACGAATCGGGCTGCGAACCTTAAGGTCAGCGGTTCGAAACTACCAGCTGCTCCGCGGGAGAAAGATGAGGCTTTCTACTCCCGTAAAGATTTACACCCTCGGAAACCCTGTACAGGGTCGCTATGGGTCGGACCCGACTCAACGGCACTTAACAACAACAACAACAACCACCATCTAGTAACCAAAGTGGTCAAATTTAACAAACACTGAAATGCAAACTTAAGTTGGATGTGACTATTTGTAAAGTTTTGTACCCAGTGAGCATTCAACATATGGTGATTACCAGTGATGAATAGTGGTTATAGGAAAGAAATGTTGTTGTTGTTGTTAAGTGCCATCGAGTCGGTTCCGACCCATAGTGACCCTGTACAGGGTTTCCGAGGGTGTAAATCTTTACGGGAGTAGAAAGCCTCATCTTTCTCCCGCGGAGCGCCTGGTAGTTTCGAACCACAGACCTTAAGGTTCGCAGCCCGATTCGTAACCACTACGCTAATAGGAAAGAAATAGGGTGGCATAAATGTTCAGAATAAACACCCAAGTTACACTGTGTATGCAAATGGATGCTTGTGACTACAATGTAGATAACTTGGCCTGGAGTTCTTTCTAGCCTCAATAATCATATAAACAGAAAAGATAAAATTGCTGGAGATAAATTCAGTTACTAAGTTCTATCACCTTATTTTCTTTCAGATCATGGTGACTCCTTCCCATTTGATGGCCCAGGGAAAACACTAGCTCATGCTTTTGCACCTGGAGATGGCATAGGAGGAGATGCTCACTTTGATGAAGATGAAGACTGGACTGACGGTAGCAGTTCTGGTATAGCATACTCTATATCTACCACTATACTTTTTTTAATCCCAAAATTATTATACTAAGTTTAATATTACAATTGTTTTAATTTATGATACATGTGGCACTGTGGGTTAATATGCTCTACTGCAAAGTCGGTTTGAACCACAAGGTCAGGAGTTCAAGCTCACCAGCTGGTCCTTGGAAATCCTCTACAGGGTTGCTATAGGTTGGAACTGACTCGACGGCACTTAACAACAACAACAACATTGAGGGAAGTAGCCTCCATTAGGTAGCTAAGTGCCAACCTCTTTAAATCCATTAGCTCTAGGACATGTTCACAATGCTCAGGCTACAGCATCAAGCGCCATGGGTTTCACCTATTGGGCACCTCTACCAGTTATTTTCTGTGAGTCCTTGACCAAGTTCTTTAACTTCTCAGAGCTTCCGTTTCCTCTCATCTATGAAGTGAGGATTTTTAGAATTAAATGAGATAATACTTACATCATATATATTAATATATAATATAGGAGTCCTGGTGCAGCACTATAGGATAAGCACAGGACTACTAACCATAAGGTCAGAGGTTCAAAGCCACCAGCTACTCCTCGGAAGCCCGATACAGGGTTGTTATAAGTCATAACTGACTCCACAGCACTGAACAACAGCAATATAAGTATTTGGAATATACTAATTATTTAACAAATTATAGTACTTTCTTTCCATTTCTCCCTGAAAAAGAATATTTGATTGGCGGAGAAAAAGGATCAGGACTATTGTGAATATAACTAATGTTATAATGCCACTGTACTGTACACTCAGAAATTATTTAAATGTCCAAGTTTATGTTTCATATATATGTTGTTATTGTTAAGCTCTGTCTAACGGATTCTGACTCATAGCAACCTTATATAGGATTTCCAAGGAGAAGCTGGTGGGTTTGAAGTACTAACCTTGTGGCTCACAGTCTGGTGCTGATCCTACAGCGCCACACATATATTATACACACACATATATGTATTGGAGTTCCGGTGTGGCACAAGAGGATAAGCTAACCACAAGGTAGGTGGTTCAAACACACCAGCCACCTCTCAGAAAACTTATACAAGGTGGCTCTGAGTCTTAACCAACTTGACAGCACTTAACAACAATAACAACATATATTTCTTTAAGCACAATTTTAAAAAATTTTATACACTTCAGGACTTACCATTGTTGAGGTCAAAAAACCAACAGCATGATTCAGCCAATTACATTTACCCTTATACAAAGTAGGAGACTACAAACACATCACAGAACTAATAGAGAGGAACTCGGGTATAAATAATGCCATCTGGTGACAATTTTTTAAAAAATGGCTACACACTGACCCTAAAATAGACTCCTGGTGTGGTGCTGTAGGATCAGCATTGGACTGTGAACCACAAGGTCAGAAGTTCAAACCCACCAGCCGCGCTTCAGAAATCCCATACAGGGTTGCTATGAGTCAGAACCAACTCGACGGCACTTAACAACAACAACAACTTGTGTTTGTTAATGGAGAGTCACCAAAATTAAAACAATATAGTAATGTCTTGCCGTGAAAATCTAAACTACATACATTTGAAAGACTGCTTTTCTTTCTTATCATGCATATCTTTTTCATGCTTTTGTCTTTGTACTCAAAGTAGGTTAAAGGTAACTTCCTTCACTCTAATTGAGTTACAGCTCTGATCACTGTTTAAACTCGAATACTCACACTTTCCTCTTATTTGCAAAGCCTTTCTTTGAGTGTGCAGGAGAGAAAAAGATATATGTAACACAGTTCAATGAACCCAGTAACAAAACAAAACCCAGCATTACCTGAAGAGCCTGTCTTTTATTTACTCTTGGCTTTTCAAAATCAGCGTTCTCTCTCCTAATAATCAAAGTCAACATCATTTATTAAATAGCCATTATTTTCCAGATGTTGACAAATCTGTAAGGTGAAAGTTATTATTTCTGTTAACTGATGAGGATCTGAGACTCAAAAATATCTATTAAATTTGTTCAGAGTTATTCCTGGACCAGGCTTAAAAGGAGACTGTGGGGTTAAAATCTAGGTCTCAAGGTCTCTAAAGCTTCTGCTGCTTGAGTAGTTACATAAGAAGAAAATACAAAAACAATAAATTAATTTTTTTTTTTTAAGGAAAAATGATGAGATTAAAGCTCTACTATTCTAACTTTCCCCTTTGAAGTTTTGGAAACAAGTAAATTACCGAGGATTGTGAATTGAGTATGTCTGTTTTTACTTCATGCTGCTGATTCTGTTGTAGGAATGAACTTCCTGTACACTGCAACTCATGAACTTGGTCATTCTTTGGGGCTGAGCCATTCATCTGATCCCAATTCTATAATGTATCCAACATATGAAGATAGAGATTCCAAGAATTTCAGACTTTCACAGGATGATATCAAAGGCATTCAAGAACTATATGGTAATGTTGATAACTTGTATCACTTTAAATAAGGGGATTTTACACAGTCTGCTTAGGGTGGGTTTGAAAAAGAAAGGCTGAGCAACAGCTATTATCTGGGAAAACACATTGGAACTGAAATCCAAAAGCCTATTGAGGGGAGAAATTTTAGATCTTAGATACTCAAATTTTTAACCTGGCTGTTTAAAAATATAAGAACGCCAATTTTAAGTTTTCAGGAAATAATATCATTTGGTGAAATGAAGAAAATAAAAATTTCAAAATGTTTTTCAAGCTGTCACAAGCCTTGCTTGTTCAAATACTTCGGGAGCATCTGCTCCCTAGTGGACTAAAGGAATATTATACCATCTTTGTTAACGGCTCACTCCCAAGGATTAGACCCTAGGTGACTAGAAGTGATCAGGTTTTTCCTGCTTGAAATATGTATGTAAGGAAAGGGTTAATCACGGACAGTATCTGCTTACAGTTGTGAGGCATGAATTTTATGAATAGCCCTAGTAGCCCATATCCCAATCCACACTATTTTGTTTTCATCAGGTTCCAAATTCAATACAGGGAAAAAAAAAAAAACAACAACAGCTGATTTGCCTGATAAACTCAGTCAGAAACAGTAAGGTTTAACAATGAACAAGGATAAAAAGTTCTGTCTGCACAAAGATAAGGAAAGTGGTTGGACACTGGTTCCAAGCTACAGTTTGTATGGATTTATATTCTTCCTATTATGCTAAGGAGCTCTGATAACGAAGTGGTTCCGAATCAGGCTGCAAACCTGTTCAAAACTTTCAGCCGTTTCTCAGGAGAAAGATGAGGCTTTCTGCTCCCATAAAGACTTACAGGCTCAGAAACCTTATGCTGGGTCACTATGAGTCAGAACCAACTCCATAGCACATAATCATTACTACTACCTACTATGCTTGCCTGCCTATCTCTGTTTAGTACGTTTTTTAAAGAAAAAAATGCAGAAAAACATCTTTAAGTCTACAAACGTAATGAAAAGACTGCACTGCAAAAAGATTACAGAAGAGTCTTTGAACTATCTAAAAAGCAAGAAAAGTGCTTCCACATAATGCTGCCCTTAAGGGGAAATTACTTCTATTCGATAATCGGTCTAAACTATCAGTTGAACTTAGAATTTATTATAAATCAGCATTTCTTACTTTGTGTTTCCCAATGTAAGACAATCTACAAAACAAGATGCTCTGGAGAAATAAATCTAAGGAACAGTACCTACTGTTTTCAGATGTATAAGATATTAAAAAGTACTAAACAAATTTTGTGTAATTCTGTTTCCAAAATTATAAGCCTTTTTATGGAACACTTGTTGAGAACTCAAAGAAAAGCATTTTCAAGAACACACTTTAGAAAGGTTATGTCACTGTACCCTGAAGAGCTGATTCAACAAGCTGCTACCATCAAAAAAGTTCACAAAACTGAATATTGAGCTCTACCACCCCTTTTGAGTGAAGGGGAACCATGGATTGCGCGCTCATGCAGTTGCAAGGTGCTACGAACTAGTTTGCAGATCAGCTTTGTAATGTCATTGGAGTGTTGCAGCAGTATGATCCTCCTGCCACTTTTAGTAATATTCAGAGAGCAATAAACAAAGATCAACTAGGTAATCCTACAGAATAGCATGCCCAGCTTTTTGCAGCACTGATTGCATGAACAGCAAAAGACATAGATGTTTTCATAGATTCTTTATCCATAGATGAATCTACAGCTGCTCTACAGGTTGCTAGCTTGTAAAAGCTACAAGAAAAAAACCATGAAGCCGCTACATGTCTGGAGGATGTTGTTTATCGGGGTGGGGGGGATGGGATATGTTTCTGGAAAAGCTACCAAGTGCACTTGCTGATACTGCACAATCACAACTGAAGACAAGATGTGGCACCCACAGCCAACCTCTTCCAGACTCATTGTTGTTTGTTGTTGTTATGTTGTCAGTCGGTTCCGACCCATAGTGACCCTGTATAGGGTTTCTGAAGAGCAACTGATGAGCTTGAACCGCTGACCTTATATACAGTTCAAACCGACTTTGCAGCCCAGCACATTAACCCACAGTGCCACACCAGGACTCCTAAATAATAAACAAACATTACAAATGGTCATGTTTGCTGTTAATTAAAGATGTGCACGTGGTGGTGGTTATGTGCATGGAGTCGGTTCTGAGTCATAGAGACCCTGAAAACCTTTATTGAAGCTGAAAGCCTCATCTTTCTCCTGTGGAATCGCTGGTAGTTTCGAGCTGCTGACCTTGAGATTTGCAGCCTGACTCATAACCACTATGCTACCAGAGCAGTGTTGCCAAATCCCATGTGGCAGAGAAAAGAAGCATCTCAGTGCAGCTAAAACTGCTTATCCATTTAGATGCAAGCCTTGCCCACAATTACAAAAACATTAAGCACTATGATGTGTGTTACCTTTTTCACTATTTTTAATTATCTTCTATTTTCACTCTGAATAAATAACCTTGCAAACTTATGGTTGAAAAAAAAATCAAATATTGATAAGGTTGTCACAAACAAAACAGAACACATTACCCTTTCCTTCTATAATACCAACTCCTGGACTTCGAACCACAAGGCCAGCAGTTCAAACCCACCAGCTGCTCCTTGGAAACTCTGTACAGAGTTGCTATGAGCCAGAATCAACTTGGAGGTACTTAACAACAACAACATATAACACTGTGTAACTCATGGAATACTCTACATCATTCTATAACAATCTTAGAACCTTAAGAAAAGCATGACGGGAATAAAGAAGATTCTGAGACAGACTAAACCCTTTAGTATTTGAACAAAGAAATACCCCTACTCAAAGTTGGAAAGGGGTAGCTTCTGGATAAAACAGTGTAGGATTTAATTATACTGGTTATAAATTTAGGGAGTTCATTAACACAGGAAGTAAACAGGAGCAGAAAATATAGATTCATAAGAACGTCACTAAACTGATAGCTGTAAGATTCTTCCCAACATCTTTTCAAAATAATAAAAATAATAACTGAAACATATCGAGTATTTATAGTGTACCAAACTCATTTAATCCAACAACCCAATGAGATAGTATCTCATTTTACAGATGGTCAATGAAGAGATGTTAAGTTGTAATTTACCCAAGGTCACAGAGCTAGTAAGATAGCAGAGAGAGTATACAAAGATATCTGACCTCCAAGGCCCACACTCATAACCACAATCCAAAATTGCCTTCTTATCCTTTGGAGCTAGTTTTTTAGAACCTTTGTCAGGCACAGAAAATTATAAATTATACATAGTATTCTATTTCATGCATCTGTGTATCTTAGGATGACTTCTATATGTTTCATACCATATAAGACTTCTTATTTTCTCTCAACAGGGCAAAAGTGATTCTGTAAACAATTGAAAACTTCAGGAAGAATGTCCATTCATTCATTGGATTCTGTATCATTGTTCCTCAACTGTAATTAACACTGCCCTGCACTCCACTTAGTACTTGTCTCAGCTTTTCTTGTATTATTGCTGTTTTTGCATGTCTCTCTCCTCCTTGAAGTACAAACTCTATGGAATGACTGTGTCATATGTATCTAGACTCTCCCCTCAAGTCACTTGTACTTGGTAGACTTCAATGAATGTTACATAAATAAAATTATCATTCCATAGTGAAATTATTTTATATTGGAGAGCAGTTTCTGGGATGATGGTGGTGGGGATGGTTGTGTGCAATCCTGTACAGGGTTTCCAAGGTTGTAAATCTTTATGGAAGCAGAAAACCTCATCTTTCTCCCACAGAGCAACTGATAGATTTGAACTGTGGACCTTGCAGTTAATAGTCCACCTCATAATCCGCTATGCTACCAGGGCTCCTGTTTCTGTAGTAAGAGAAGCTATTTTAACATTATTATACAACTAAATAAAAAATTAAGGCAAGAAAAAATTGCCCACAACAATATTTTTTTGAATCTTAAGTTGAAATGTATCATATGACTACATGGAGGAACTACGTATTCTTCCTCTTTATTATTTATAACTGTAGTCTAAAGTTGTATTGTTTCCTTATCCTTTGAGATTTAAATAATTTTAGTCCAAGTACTTGCTCTGTCTTCTGAAAAGTTCAATTCCCCCACAAGATGCCAGTGAATTCCCAGGGACTTCCATCCTCATAATTGCTTCGGATCCAGGTTTCTGTCCCTGAGCCTGATCTCACTACATCTCACCCACCACAGGTACTCTCTGTGTCCCCTTTGCTCTACCTTATACAAACTCAGGTATGAAGCTCACTACGCCAAACTGACCCCACAAAACCATTGTTAGACTGCAGACTTTACTGAAGATTCGCATCAACAATGGGGTCTTACATTACACAAAGTCAATGAAATTGAAATAGAATATTATACCTAATATCCTAAATTGAAAGAGGATATTATACCTATCCTTCAAATCCTTTGGATTCCCTATATGGTGCAAGCAATGAGCTCAGTTGCTAATCAAAACACTGTAGGTTCAAGTCCACCTGGAGACACCTCAGAAGAAAGATCTGGCAATCTGCTTCTGGAAATTTGTTGTTGTTGCTATTAGGTTCTAACTCATAGTGATCCTATGCACAACAGAATGAAACACTGCCCAATCCAGTGCCATCCTCACAGTCATTGTCATGTTTGAGCCCATTGTTGCTGCCACTGTGTCAATCCATCTCTTTGGAGTTTATTCTCTTTTTCACTGACCCTCCACTTTACCAAACATAATGTCCTTCTCCTGACAACATGTCCAAAATACAAATGATGAAATCTCACCAACTTTGCTTCTAAGGAGCATTATGATTGTACTTTTTCCAAGATAGATTTGTTTGGCATACTACTGCTGGCTAACCAGGTCTCCAACAAAGTTCACAGGAGTCTATTGAATGTGGTCAGACTTAGCTACCAACTTCATTGCTGTTTTTCCCCCTCTTCCCCCTATCAGTGATCAACGTGATCATCAGCCAGACCACATGCCTGCTCATATTCCCCTTGAGCCTTAGTCTTGGAAGGGGGTTTGTCCTGAGGGGACCTGACCAC